ACAATGTTGACCTGTTTACATGGATTATGTCAAATGAAGATTCTGAGTTTGTTGTTTTATTATGCCAACTTTTAAATGCAAATTTTAATAAGAGAAAACAACATTTGCCGTGTTTATCAGTGGAATTTATACTATTTTTTTTCACATAATTAAAGTTTGTTTACAGGTTTTAAATGTGTAAAATTTATAGATAAAAGTGATAAAAAAGAAAAATTTGAAACAGTGCCTTAGCACTTATACGCTTCTGTACGGATCATTCCGTAGTCAGATTTAGTATACGAATAGATGCCTAACATTTGGAATGAAATAGGTCAATCAAAACACTCCTAATGACAGATATATTTGATTAAAAATCAACCACAGAATTTTTTAAATGCTGACTGCAAACGAGGTTGTTGAAAGTCCTATAACATCAACTTATCTGATAGTAGCCTGTCTTGGTTAAAAATTTGATCATGCTCAGGGCTCTAGAATACTGCAGCTAGTGTTTTATTCTCCTGTAGATTTTGAGTAAATTCTGCTTCATAGGTATATAAAAAAAGATCGGTTGCTTAAAAGGGAACAATAAGTACCTATCACAATTCTAATTCTATCTCAAAGTTCTTTTTAGGTTTTAACACTACCTCTAGTCTCCTCTAAAATATGTTGTAGCACAATACGTCTGAAATTGCTCTTTTAAAGAAGTATTTTTTTTAAAAAAGGGGCTAATGAATTTGGCAATGTATCTTTGTTTGTGAGGATTCTTATGAAGTTTAGCAATCCAGTATAGGTACCGTAGGCGGATCGAACTTACTTTGTTTTAACTAGCAAAGGTGGATCCAGGGCGGGCGAGCAGGGTGTGCGCCCCCGCCACCCCGTTTGAAAATTTTGTATGTAAAATTTATATGTCCATTATCCTAAAATCAAGGGAAAAATTAAACATCTCTTATTTGTAAGAACGTGTCAACCGGACCCCCAAAAAGAACCTTGTCTTAGACCCACTGGGGCACAGCTACCTGACCCCTCTGCCTCCTACTGCGCCCCTCCCCCCCTCCCCCGTTACGAAATTCCTGGATCCGCCACTGACTGGAATGTTTAAAGTATACGCATATTTCTAAATTAACATATAATGTTAAGGTTTATAACATAACGTGTCAAAATATCAGCATATATATACAGTATCAGTATACTAGTATAAATATTGCATGTAGTTGAGTGTAACATTGAAAAATTTCACTCTAAGAAAATCATTGTCAACCGAGGCGCAGGTTTTCGAGGGGTGAAATTTTTCAATGTTACACTCAACTACGTGCAATATTTATTATACCGGTATTATACTGAATGTTTTAACAGTGAATCGTGTGCGCATAAATTCTGCGCGGTCACTATTTTTTGGAATAACACCTGTCGTTAAGCAGTGTTGATTGTTATACCTTTAGAACTTTGTTCCTATACAAATTTATACGAAACAAGCTAATTCAGAGAATTTGTGTCCCCCGCTTAAGGAAAAAGTAAAACATGTGCAGTTCGGGGGGAGGGGGGGGGGACTCGGATCCCCCTCACTGAATCTGTAGAATTATTAAATGTATACATGCATGTATGCTGAAGCAAATAAAATATACTATTATGGATATAAAGATTTAATTGCTTATTCTTTATTTTGTGTATAGAAGATTCTTTTTATATGGAATATTTATCACACACTGTAATGATGATTTTATACGAGTTTCTAAAAACATATAATGTTAATTTTTCATTTATCGCATATATATACTATTATTTAGTAAAAAAAAAATGTATTTCTCAAAAAAAAAAAAAAATCATTGTCAACCGAGGCGCTTTTCAACCCGGAATCTCTCACATTGGAAGCGATAAGCATACCACTAGACCACGGAATCGCTTTAGCGAGAGTCAAGTATATGCAGAAGTGAAATCACATACATGTATGTATTCATGTTCGGTATTGTGAAAATTTTACACAATCCATGGTGTTAAATTTATTTAGCCTTTATTAAACAGTTCTATATAAATGTATAAGAAAAAAGTCCATGTCTAAACCTGTTTTGCTACCCAATAAAAATCCTGATGCCCCTGTGCTAAAAGTTGGACATGTAATGCTATAAATACTTATAAAACAAATGGGCGGGGCACCCATTTGCATTAGTTGATGTTTAACAGTGAGAGAGGGGTCCATCAGGGAGTTGTGTGTATAAAATTACATTTCATATGAATATAAATAAATTTCTTGAAATATCGCCCGGAAATGATAGTGTTACACACAGAGAGAATGTATAAATTTATGACCTTGAACTTTGACCTTTTGACCTCAACATCTATAGGGCTCTTCATTAGGCCACATGGAGTTGTTGTGTAAAATTTCATGGCAATAGCTCAATATATATATTTTATACATGTACATTTAGAAACGAAAGTGTTATAACAGACAAAAAAGAATTTGCTTATTTTTGCTTGACCTTAAATCTTTTGACCTCAAAATCAATAGGGTTCGCTTACATGTTCGTCACATAATGCGCATGAGTTGCTATGCTAAATTTCATTACAAAAGCTTAAAGGGACAGTATACAAGATATATATGTGTCAAAAATTCACAAAAAGGATATATATAAATAAACATTTATCGGTTGTAAACTTTAGTTTACAAACCTTAAACTATAGTTAACAACGTTAATCTATATTTCACATCTGTAAACCATAGTTAACGCGATAATCTATGTTTCACAACCGTAAACTATACTTAACACCGAAAACAATCATTTGCGATTGCAAAACAAAGATTATCTGATACAGTTTCACGATTTATAAACTATAGTTCACAAACCGTTAACTATAGTTAACGATTTGATAAATATAGTTTCACAATTTGTGAAACTATGATTAACAACTCTTAACTGTATATATATATCTATGTTTATCACAAAATCTATTGTTAACGCTTTATTACAAAATCTAAACTTAAATTAACTTTGTAAACTATAGTTAACAACCGTTAAATATAGTTTTATAGATGAAAACTATACTTGACGAATCTTTAACTATAGTTTACGGTTTGTAAACTTTAGTTTACAGTCGATAAATCTAGTTTATCAAATGTGAAGCTAGGTTTATCTCATTTTTGTGAATTTGGCGTGCCATACACATATTATTCAAAAAAACATATATTAAAATAAAAGGTATAACAAAACATTTATACTGTGTTCTCGGGCAAATTGCGTTTTGTAGACTCTCGAACCAAACTGTTTCTTGGGTCCGACAAAACGCATATTGCCCTCGAACTAAATGTATAATGTTAGAGCCGTATTCGCATGTAATGTCAAAGTATCAGTATATAATAAATGTTCTCCTCTAGATTTCAAACCCTTCAAACATATTAGAAAGAAATATGTCCTGCTGGTAGATGTGACGATATTAAACAAGGATATACTGATAAATCAGTTAGACGAATCATTAAATTGAGATATTAACGGCACATTAAAATTATTACTCTTTCTCTTTGAAACTAAAGGACAGATATAAAGGAAACAGAATATGATTTACGGCTCGCGGAATGATGAGCTATTAATATTATGTAATATCTTGATATTTGTCAGTAACTGCTGATTTAAATATATTTAATAATTCTAAGTCATATTCAAATAAAGTTTTTTTGCCATTCATGACATGATTTTAAAGTGATTTGTTGTAAAAAATATGAATAAGCATTTTATAGAGATTTCTTGATTTTTTTATATGAAGAACGCGATGGGCATTTCTAAAGGGTTTAAAATATATTTGTTTTTTTTAATCTATATTTTGCTGTTAACTTTTTTAATTGTTAAAAGTTTAAATTCAATCAAGGTAGAAATATTATACTGAGTTGAAGAAATGATTACGATGTACGATAAGGGTTCAACATACATATAATAATTAGGTATGATAACTGTCAAGGACATGGCTGAAATGACATTATATTAATAGAATTCTTGGGGTCAATTGCTGCAAGGTCGTTCTGATCGGTAGTAGGGATTTATGTATATATGTATACTGGCACATCTTACGCATTGGAAGGGGTTCATCGTCCGCCTTCCAACGTCAATATGCTACTCTAATCCTTTACCTTATCCAAATTTATTTATACTTGGTACACAGCTCTTTTTCCTTTTCTCTCTCTTTCTGTTTCGTCGAATGTCCGCAACTTGTATTCACTCAAGGGGACCAAGCGTATAGCGTATAGTGAAAATTAATTACACTTTTATAGATTTTTAAAAAAAATTTTTCGGGGCATCGTTAACGTCTGTCTATTAAGGTTCAGTAGCGGATCCAGGAATTTTGAAAAATAAAGGAGAGGGGGTAGGGGTCCACAGCCACACGAGACAATTTATCTAATAAATATTATGTATATTTTGGATACAAAAGGGGGCCCGGGCCCCTGCCCAGTTTAAATCCACCAGTGATGTTATTATGCTTGTTTAAATGTTTGTTCGGAAGTAAAAAATTGGCTGTCCATTAATAAAGTACATATAACAATGATTAAAAAGCAATAGGGGTCTACTTATTGTTTTTCTCACTCCGGAAATCCTTATAGCATTAAAGGAAAATACTACAGGCACCTGGTGTTGGTTATTTTCCTTTTAATAAAAAATATACATGATTGATAGAACATTGTTTTAATTATAGATATTGAAATTTCCATTGAATTTCAGAAATTTGCATAAATGTAGACTGATAGGCGTGGAATCTGAAGATGAGTGATGAATATATTATCAGTCGATTATTCATATCTATGTCAGTAGGTCCTTGTTACCGGAATTTCTGTTCAGATCATAAATAAGCAAATTGTTTGATATATTTATAATACTTTCATAATTATTAGCTCACAAAAAAAATTGTCTATGAAAAAAAAAGAAAGAAAAAAGGTAGAATATCGCAGGTATCAGCAAGCGAGACTAAATCCGGAAATGTTATATCAGACGGATTCAGTTTTTACAATTACCGACGCCTCCATATTTCCCGCGGTATTTTTATTATTTTTAAACAAAACAGTGATCTATTTACATATTTGTATTCAGTGAATTCATTTAATGTATCCAAGAGTTTAAGATGACTACAAACAATGTAAATGAGAAACAGCAGATGGTGAATAGATGGATATTAGATTATACAATCTCGTTGGTGTGGAAGGATTTTGTAGAATGTGGATCTGTTGACCGCAATAATAACAGAGATCTTGTACAATGTAATTCGCTGCATGACACTACGTTGTCTCTTAAGTCTTAATCAGATTTTGCATGAATTTACCATGTTATGTTTATTTGTATGACTGTTAAAATACTTAGTTATTTTATGCAGATTTTTTAAAAACTGTTTAGATAAATTGTGTGCACTTTCTCAACCTAGAAAAATTTCTTTTCTAATTTTAACATTTTTTCAACAAATATTCACAGGGCTTTGAAATGGGTTCTTTTTCGTACAGGTTCTGATAATCTCTGTTGAGATTCTACTGGGCTAGATATTTGGACTGACGCCCAATAGAATCTCAACAGAGATTAAGGTTCTGAGGTTTCAAAGTGAGGAAAGTGGCATTTCAGTGTTTCAGTGATTATCAATATTATTGATTTTTCTTCAATAGAATTGAAATTTTTAAAGGCCTTTAGAAAAGAATGTTGTACATCAATTGCTAGATATCATAGGCATCAGAATGGGGGGGGGGGGCAATTTTTTTTTGCAAATGTATACATTAAATAGGCATTGAAAATTGGGGTTTACCTATTTTTGTTGGTTTAACCCCTCACTTTCAATTAGCCCCCCACTTTTGATTTCCTTCCGATGCCTATGGATATCATGTGTAGCATTATTTTCATAAGTTTTAGTCACAGGCACTTGTTTCAGAAATTAATTTTTAACCCAATTTTTGTTATTATTAATTATTATACCCATAGTGTAATAATAACAGAAGGTATGACTATCTTTTAAATCTGAATTACTGAGTGACTTAAACCCCACCCCCCCACCCCACCCCCTCCTTCCTCAGAAATGCACTCATTTACACTTTCAGAGGAAATGCATTGGCAAACTGTTTATAACCAAGGACTAATGTAGGGCACATTTACCTCCAATATTCGGTGTTTTTCCCCTGGAGAAAATTTCCCCTGATGATCTTATTTTCCCCTTTTGATACAATAATAAAAACCTTGAATATTTTTTTTTCTTTCATAAATTATAACTGAAAATTTAAAATAAAAATTTTCAGTATATAAGAAATATTGATTTACTTTGCTACTTAATGCACATTAAATTGCCATAAAAATGCTGCAATTCAATTTATCCCCAAGCATGGCTTGCCCTGCACTCATTTGAATGGTTCCAGACCCCAGCTGATTTTCCCATTTTCTCCAGAAAAGGTAGTTTCCCCAAAAACCTAAATTAATCCCTTATAACAATTTTCTTCCATGATAATTTATCTACACAACTACATGTATATATGGTATGCTTGTCTTTATTTTCTTTTATCTTCGTAAACAATATGAAAACTCTGCTCGCCAAGCAGAAAAGTCAAATCAACCATTGAGATGTGAGGAGCGGGATACTAAATGTAATTCGGACTTAGATACCGTATGTTATTATCATACTATGGGTTAAAAATTTATTTCCAAAACAAGTGCCTGTGGTTTTAGTTTATATTAATGATAAATTGAAAATAATACATATGTTCTATGAGACATGTTTATCTATTTACCATAATTTATTTTTTAAAATAATATTTTTTAATACTAGGAAAAAAAAACAACAACATTGAAATGCACTTCTAAAATTTTGATTATATACACTGACAACTAATTGCATCTTTTGTTAAGGGATCCTTGCCCAGCAGTTGTTTGAGGAACCTGAGGACCTACAGATCTACATCTTGCCTCTGATATGTCGCTTGGTGGATGGAGAGACCTATGACACAAAGTATGTAGAAGAAAGCAATCTGACTGTACTGGAGGATGCTGCTGGAATTCTGGAGACTTTTTTGAAAGATGCCGCACGGTCTCTCCAAAAGGAGGGTCTAGATTTTTTAGACGAACTCAAACAACAGGTACTAGCAGTCTTGCAAAATAATTCACAAGTTTTATGAACCATGTATATAGCTGTTTCATTTGTTATTTGTAACAAGAAAAACAGAATTAATAACAATTCGAACTGTAAAGTATAGAGGAAAAATGGGTTTCTCACTCACAGGACATACAAAGTTGTTAATATGTACAATAGAATTCAGAGAGGGGTAGGGGGAAATACCTCTCAGACACTTACATTTTAAAAGTGAGTATAATCATAAAGAAGTTCCTTTTTTTCTTTTATAAATCACACATGTAGACTGAATTTTTGTGCCAAATTCAATCCCCTCGTATTATTAACAGTTGTTGACCAACCTTGTTTGCATAATTTTGAAAGAAAACCAAAGCAAATTATAAAGAATCCAATTAACTTGCTTTTTTCCAATGTTTTCAGGCTGTGTTTGTTTGCTGCAGAGATGACAATTTTGAGGCAGCAAAAGATGTTTATACTCGACAGTTTTCTGGGAGTGGAAAAAATCAACAGGAATATAAAGAGGTTGTATCTTCTGAATTACTGAGTAGATTTTGTGTGAGCGCAATGAACAGATTGAAAATGATGATCAAATGCATAACAGAAAACCTTTAAATTACTGTCATTCATCTAAACAGCTTTATACATGTCCTCACCTGATTCATTTGTTAATTTTCCACATGCAGCTCCAGGTTTTTAAAAAAATATTTTTGAAGGGATTTGTCTCTTCAAAATATTAACTTTTTTCTTTATCTAGAAATGTTGCTGTATTTGACTAAACATTTCTGCATAGAAATAATTAAGGCATACTTTTGTAGATTAAGGGAAATAACAAGAATGCTTTCAAGTTTTGTAACAATTTTATAAACTGATAAACACAAAATAACTTCTTCCCTACTTTAATGTCAGAAGATTACATCTAACAGTTTATTAATCTATTAATTTCCATAGAATTACACGTTCTCGTTTCTCTTGGATGTACAGCATATCTCAGTTGTCAACAGCATATCTCAGTTATCAAGCCATTTGCTTTTTATTAATTTTCCATGCAGCTTCATCAAGTCTTTTGTTTATTATTTCTGTGATGAAGACTTATAAATAGGCACACATTTTACTTATCCCAAGTCAGGCCTGTTTGTGTTAGACATGGGGGGTTGTCCATCTTGTTGGTCCATATTAATCCACGGCTTTGCTATGTCTTCTGTAATGGTCCTGACTTAGACTCTCTGTTAACCTTCCAAAATTATAATGTTGAATTTTCTGTACACAATCTAAGGAGTAATCAGACACTAGAAAAATTTCCCCCAAAAAATGAATTCTTCTATAGCAGTCCAGCAGCTGTGCCCTCTCTGTAAGCTCAGACTGTCTGATAGAATCTTCTGTCTGCAGTTGTCCTCCCTTTTAGAAAATTCTAGATACTGTGTTTGGTTTATGTAACCTAGATTTTGATGACATCACAAGATGTCAATTAAGATCATCAATTGGGTGAAGTTTTAGACAGTATGAATTTGACTGTCTGATTCTGTTACAGGTAATCAGAAAATTGATAAAAAGAGTACTTAAGAAAGCTTTACTAGTTAAAAAAAAGAATTTAAAAAAAAAAAACTGCAATACTTGTATTACCTTCACTTTGAAGGTTGATCATATACTAGTATTACCCTCACTTTGAAGGTTGATCATATACTAGTATTACCCTCACTTTGAAGGTTGATCATATACTAGTATTACCCTCACTTTGAAGGTTGATCATATACTAGTATTACCCTCACTTTGAAGGTTGATCACAGGTAAACATAATGTAAACCTTGTTTGATTTCTTAAATAATGGATTTCATTCTTTAAAACTTACACATAAAAATCTTAATTTAAGCACATTGAGAATTGTAAAACTAGACAAAGAAATCACTATTTTAGCATATTGAGAATGATTTTAATTTTCAACAGATTTTTGTGCTAAGGTTAAAATAAATGTGCTAATGTCTTTCAGAACAACAACAGAGAAATCCAGAAGCTGCTGAAATCAGAAAATCCCAAACACAGCACACTTGATACACATGGATATGGTGACTTCCTTCATAAAGCGCAGGAATTCCTCAGACACTTCGTCAAAACAGAGGAACCAGTATTGTTACAGGCAACTTCACTTTTCCCAGTAAATTTGATTTCACGAGAAGTATAATTGCTTTGTTTTCACATGTCTAAAACATTATTTGAAAGTCATTAAAAGCACAGAAGATGTTTTGTTTTGTCAGTAGGAACATTTTTGGGGAATAGAAGCTTGATTACATGCAAATGTATAGTTAGTATAGCTGGCTGTGAAAGGAGAAAAATACATGATTTGAAAGTACATGTAAAAGAATCTTTCATGGCATAAAGAAACCAATTTAACACATGTTTACCCTTTCTCTCCCCTGTCTTGTTTATCTCTTTCTCCTTTATATTTTGTGATGTCACAGCAGGTTTACGTGAAAGTGATGAAGTAAAGTAATGCAGATTCATTTTTAAAATATGGAAAACATTGAGATTAATGTATCATATGATAAAAAGAATCTCCCATGCTTTATGATGAAATATGATTTTTATCCAACTTGTCTTTTTTTTAGCTCACCTGAGCCGAAGGCTCAAGTCAGCTTTTCTGATCAAAAGTTGTCCGTTGTTTGTCATCGTTGTTGTCGTTGTCGTCGTTGTGGTAAACTTTTCACATTTTCATCTTCTTCTCAAGAACCACTGGGCCAATTTCAAACAAACTTGCTACAATGTATCCTTGGGTTAAGGGGATTCAAGTTTGTTCAAATGAAGGGCCATGCCCTCTTCCAAGGGGAGATAATTATGAATTAGTGAAAAATTAATAGCATTTTTAAAAAATCTTCTTCTCAAGAACCACAAGGCCAGGAAAGATGAAACTCTTGTGGAATCATCCTCAGGTAGTGTAGATTCAAGTTTGTTCAAATCATGACCCCCGGGGGTAGGGTGGGGCCACAATGGCCGATCAAAGTTTTAGATAGGAATATATAGGAAAAATCTTTAAAAATCTTCTACTCAAGAACCACTAGGCCAGGAAAGATGAAACTCATGTGGAATCATCCTCATGTAATGTAGATTCAAACCTGTTCAATTCATGACCCCCGGGGGCAGGATGGGGCCGCAATGGCCAATCAACATTTTACATAGGAATACATAGGGAAATCTTTTAAAATCTTCATCTCAAGTACGTCAAAAGCCATGATTAGTGATATTTATATGGAATCATCCTCAGGTAGTGTAGATTCAAGTTTTTTTTCAAATCATGACCCCTGGGGGCAGGATGGGCCCACAATGGCCGATCAAAGTTTTACATAGGAATATATAGGGAAAATCTTCTTCTCAAGAACCATTGAGACAGGAAAGATGAAACTCATGTAAAATCATCCTCAAGTAGTATAGATTCAAGTTTGGTCAAATCATGACCTCCGGGGGTAGGGTTGGGCCACATGGCCGATCAAAGTTTTACATAGGAATATATAGGGACGTCTTTTAAAATCTTCTTCTCAAGTACTTGAAAGCCATGATTAGTGATATTTATATGGAATCATCCTCCTTAGTGTATATTCTAGTTTGTACAAATCATAACTCCCAGGGATAGGGTGGGGCCACAATGTGGGATCAAAGTTTTACATAGAAAAATAAAGGAAAAAATCCCAAGAACAGAAAGGCTATGTTTAGTCATATTGACATTATGTAAGCATCCTGATATATTGAAGATTTAAATTTGTTCAAATCATGGCCCTTTGGGGTAAGGAGGGAAGCAATGGGGAATCAAACTCAAATTATTCCGAACTGTCAAAGTAATATATAGGAACAAAAATTTTTTAAAAAGTCTTTTTATCAAGAACAGCAAAGTCATATGCTGTATTGATATGAAGGCATTCTCAAGTAGTATTAAAATTCAAGCCCCCCCCCCCCTCTTAGTAAACTTTTCAGTTCTGATCTGATTTGTGTTTTTTCCTACCCAATGTGCTCAGGTGAGTGATGTGGCCCCTGGGCCTCTTGTTTTATATCCACGCGCCAAGGCATGTGGATAAAAAAACACACAACTCATTGGATAAAAATCATATTTGACCACAAACCATTGGAGATCCTGTATTAATTGCATGACACAAAACAAGACATGTTTGAATTTATTCTTAGTTACTTGGAAGGCAGGTCACTGAGATCTTTAATGAAATATGATAAAACCTTAGTAACTATATGGCCCGGAATCATCACACAGCACTTAAATAGCAATTCATCCTAGGTTTAAGCTATGTCACACCCTACATTAAAACCACTTTTACATTTAATTATAACAACTCAAGGATAACTTATATTGGCAATAGATATAGAAGAATTGTTTTCAGGGAGGTAATCCCTTAAATCTTAGAATAATGTGGTAACCTTATACAAATATTCTAATTTCAAGATATACACACTTTAGCTCACTTTCAAGATATACACATTTTAGCTCACTTTCAAGATACACACATTGTAGCTCACTTTTAAGTTATACATGTACACTCTTTCAACTTTCAGGATATGCAAATTTTAGTTCATGTGAACAGAGAGTTTAGGTGAAATTTTCTGTCAGATGAAATTTTGTGCGATTCTTCACCCTTTTGTCAATCTGTAACTTTAAGCATTTTGGACTTCTCGTTGACAAGAACTACTGGGTCAAATTCAACCAAACTTGACACACAGCATCCCTGGATGAATAGAATTCATGTTTGTTCAAAAAAAGAATACATCCTTTTTCAAAGGAAGATAATTTTAAGAATTAGTGAATTTTAATGGCACCTTTTAAAAATTTTCTCAAGAAATATGGAGCCACAAGATTTGACTAAATATGAAGGTAAATTTATATTTTATGGGATAACAGGTGAATTTTGGTATTTTGAACATTGATATCTTAGATACTATGATTATGTGAAAGTCAAGTGATTTAAAGGTTCAAAGCACTTTTTCTTTTAAAAAAATGTAAGCTCAATACATGTATCTCAAATCTTGGAATATATGTTCAAGATACTGAGGTTTGACTCTATTTTGCTTGCCTTTAGTTTCACTTTTCACTCTCATTTCCTAAACATGAAGCAACATTAAAGGTTTTTTGCCCAGCAGATTTTAAAAAAATTCCTCTCTAAAAGAAAGTTTGTTTTTTTTCAGATGGCAAACAAGAAATGGAAACAGCAGGTCAAAGGGACAACAAACCATCATGACAAATTTCAAGACAAGTATGATGTCACAGTCTTATCACCCTTATCTAAACTTGCCTCCAGTTTACTTCAACTAGGACAATGGCAATCTAATTAAAATTTGATTCTACATCTGCTCCCCGATTTTGTATATGTCGTGAGATCCGCCTTGCACATAAAAATCAGAATCGGATGGAAGATCAAATTTTAATAAAGATTGGAACAATGACTTGTTAAACAGACACACTGTCACAGTCTTTTCACCACTAACAAATTTTCATCACTAACGTGTTTTTTCTTTACTTTGAAAAAGACAAATAAAGTTAGTAAAAAAAAAAATACTTTCATAATCTTTTCACCACTTACAAATGACCTCTGTTTACTTTGACATGCCAAGTACCTGGTAACAGATATTTGCACCTCTAACAAATGTCTGTATATTTACTAAAAAGCCTTGGACAGATTGTAGAGATTCTCATCTGCATCACCATTTAAGGGTTTTTAGATCAACTGAGGGGGGGGGGGGTACAATATGGGAACTGCTTTTTCAAAGCAGGACCAAAGTAACTCAGGTGAGCATTGTAGCCTATGGATATTCTTCATGTACATATTATATGTATTCTGTTTAAGAACCCTCTCTACACTGCACACTAAAGAATTCTGATTTTAAGGTAATTTTTTGCCCTTAGATCTAAATTCTAAAAAATAGAAATTTACACAATATTACTCAATTTGTAATCAATTCAAGTATTTTCAACATTTCAAAAGGCCAAGATAAATTTAAACGTGTTATTTACTTGCATTTTCTCTATTGAAGTAATTAACAGTGAATTTCTATTCACTGATACTGTATTGTCTTTGAACGTTTTTCCCGGGGGTAAATGCCACGCACCATACATTGAAAATTAAATAAATAAGCTCAATATTAACTCCTTTATACAATATGTTTTTCTCAATGTCAAAAAAAATTTTGCACTTGTGTAGAGAGGGTCCTTAACCACTTATTTTACTTCATATATTTTATTTAGGATTGTAAATTTAGAAACATTAACAAAAGTGTGTGAAAGCATGAGAAGTAAACCAAAAGACAAGAGTTGGCCAAACTTCATGGAACAGAGGGAGTTAAGAGAACACTTACAGAAGGTAATGATAGAAAGTTCTTCTTCTTCAAAGGTTGCCATCGCCATGTTGTACTTTTATGTATGCAAAGTAAAATATGCAAATGTATGTAGTTTATGTGTGCTTTTAGAGAGATATTTATTTCAAACTTGCCAGATGAAATATTTGAATGCTGTTTCATGCTATAATTTTTTAAACACAATAGATACATCAAGACTTAAACCTGAATTTAAATAAATTATTTTTGTTATGTTTTAGGTCAATACAGAAAAAACAAATCTAGTGAATTCAAATGCCAATGCCAATACAGGTAATAGAAATTAGATATTTTGACAGCCTTAGTTACAGGAAATCTTGAACTTGTATATCAGTAATCTAGTATGAATTAATTGAAAATAAAGCAAATTTAGCTAAATTGTTGGAAATTTTCTTTTTATAGCATCATCTTCAGCAAGCAGCTCAAGTCCCGTAAAGTAAGTACTTAAAGTTTTAATTTTAATAATTTTATTTAGTGATAATAGTAGGATGATCTATGCATAGCTCTTTAGTAATTCTATGATGGTTAAACAGGTCTGGCCGATTTTCAAATATGGAAGTCAAGAACGATAAATGAAAGTTGCTGTAAATATACATCATGTACACATAATTATTTTTCTGTCCAATCAGACAACAGCATTTTTACACACTTCAAAACATATAATAAAAGCACAAAAAGAAAACGTGCTTTTGTTTGTTTTTTTTTCCTCAAAAAGATTTTTTTAACAAAAAATCTTAAGAAGTAAGATGAAAACTTTTGAAGAATAAGGTATTCCCCACATATTTACCGTGAACAACCTTGACATTTATATCTCTGTAAAGAAAAAATTGCATAATACAATGCAATCATTTACGGAGGAATAAATCACACCAGCAAGTTCTTATCAACTTCAATTAATTTATAGCATTTACCAGAATATAGTATATATGTTGGTAAATATAATTTTGCGTACCCGTCCGATTTTCATCAATGATGCTTAATTTTCATGTGTATAGATCCACCTCACACAAGTGTTTATCGTTTGGACTACATATAGTTTTAAAATACCACGGGTTTCATGAGCACCGAATACTAAGCTGTGCAGACTTTTAAATGGGCATAAGAAAAGGTGTTAGCCATAAAACGTGGAGAAACGAGAATAATTTTACATGATTGCGTACGCTTTATCCTATCCCAATATTTTACCTCTCATACCAGAAACTGCATAGACGATTTTGTTATAAACATTGAAAAATAATTAAGACTGTTATCCATTCGAAAAGATTTTTATGTCAGGTTCTAAAAACTGAAAATTTCCCGTATTTATATCAAATTTTTAACGTAAGTTTAACTTTTGGGATTGCTACCTCCTAGTGACAGATTTTTAATCCCACTTAAAACGTATTCTAAGCTTTTAAGTTGTGTTTGTTCACGGTAGAATCGTCATAAATATTTTATTATTCCAAAATGTGCATAAAGTTTACAAAGAGTTTGTTTTAAAAAAATCTTCTGAGCAAAAAACTTTAGAACCACGTGTTTTACTTATTTTCACATGTGTTTGTTTAAATGCTGGTATAGGATTGGTCAGAAAGACAAGCACCTTGTTTATTCTGTGTATTTATAGCAATATACGGTTATCGCTTTTGACTTCCATATTTGGAAATCGTCCAGACCTGTTAAATGCATCTTGTATATACAATAAACATACATTTTCCCATTAGATCATAATTGTGGGGAACCACAATTTCTGTTCATTTGGCAGGTAAAAGATTTTTAGTCATCTGAGTTTACTCAGGTGACTTTTTGCTATCTGTTTTCGTCCTGCAGGATGTGTCATCCGTCATGCTTCAACATTGGAACATTTTCAGCTTCTTTTAAACCATGGCCCATTTTCAACCAATTCTGAATATTAGCCTAAATTGATGGGTGAAGGGGAGTAAAAATTATGAAATTCATAGCCCCTACCCCCTTGGGGCCTGGGGCTAAAACCATCAAAATCAACAATCTTTAAAATCTTCTTGGTGGGTTCCTATTTTATACAAAGATTACGGTACTTTAACCTGAGGGTTTGTCATGACTTTGACCGATGATCCTTTGTGCAAGTTCAAGGTCACTGAAAAATAAGTTCATAATTTGTGTTCGGTCCGTATCAATAGTATTGATGTTGTATTAGGCTATGACTTAGTTTCAAATAACAATCAGTTCTATATTGACCAAACCTGAATGGATGCACATCTGGATCCAAGGATACACAGTACTGGACTTGCTTTGGATGCTGGATATGACCTACATTTTCCAGATGAGAGACCAGGTTAAAGTTTTTGGAGCAGGTCAATCACCAAGAAACTAAAAGCCCTGTATTGACCAAACTTGCCTTGATAGTACATCTAAAGATGCACAGTAGTGGACTTACTTCATTATGCTAGATCTGACCTACAATTTTCTGACGAGTAACTAGGTTAAAGTTTTAAAGCAGTCTCATTTTCAAGTAACTTTAATCCCTATATTGACCAAAATTCGATTTGTACGCATGTTTTTGTTATACGGGCTGTTTCTCGGAGATGGCTGGGACAATCTTCCTGAAACTTTCCTCAAAGGAAGATCACTGGTTGTAGTTGTGTTGTGTACTCATTCAGTTTCAAAATGGCTATCGTTGCCATGGAAACCTGCAAAAAGCTACGAATTTTGTCCGTGAGTGTTCTCTCTGGTCCCTTGAACATTCGTCATGAAACTTTTTTTTATTTTAGTGATTAGTAATTGTAGTTGTGCGACTTGCATTTAAAATTTTCAGAGGTCGGAAAAACAACCTCAAATGTCAAACCTCAAAACCTGATGTTAAAAAGTTATACATTTCCTGTTTATTCAAATATAGGATAGACGAAGTCCCTTCTATAGTATATTTTAGGTAATATCATTACATTGAATAAAGTTAAACTCCATATTCCACAGATAAAAGGTCTTCATGCATTTATTTCAAAGATAGTGAAAAGGGGTTGTTGTCATGGCATCTACCTAATACATTTGAGGTCGTTTTTCAGCTAGTCAGAAAGGCCCGAGAAGTTGCGATTGAACATAGTGGGGGTATTTGTACTTTTATTACCAGTCCCTGGTAGAGTATTCTGAAAGTAGAACATACTGGGGTTGTCAAACACTTGAACTCATATGGTTACTGGTATCTGTTACATGAGAACACAGCTGGGTTGTTTGTTTAACACTGTGGGGTTACTAAGATATCTGATATTTTCTATCAGAACATATTGGGGTTCTTGTCTTACACTTTGTGGGGTTAGTGTTGTCTATTATCTTTATAAGAGTAGATAATGGGGTTGTTGTCCTAACACTTTGTCTAACACTTTGTGGGGTTATGTTGTCTATTATCTTTATAAGAGTACATAGTGGGGTTGTTGTCCTAACACTTTGTGGGGTTAGTGTGGTCTATTATCTTTATATAAGAACATAGTGAGGTTGTTACACTTTATTGGGTAAGTATTGCCTATTATCTTTAACAGAGTACATAATGGGGTTGTTGTCCTAACACTTCATGGGGTTAGTGTTGTGTATTATCTTTATAATAGTACATAGTGGGGTTGTTGTCCTAACACTTTGTGGGGTTAGTGTTGTCTATTATCTTTATAAGAGTACATTGTGGGGTTGTTGTCCTAACACTTTATGGGGTTAGTGTTGTCTATTATCTTTATATAAGAACATAGTGAGGTTGTTACACTTTATCAGGTAAGTATTGTCTGTTATCTTTATTAGAGTACATAGTGGGGTTGTTGTCCTAACACTTTATGGGGTTAGTGTTGTCCATTATCTTTATATAAGAACATAGTGGGGTTGTTACACTTTATCGGGTAAGTATTGTCTATTATCTTTATTAGCTCACCTGAGCCGAAGGCTCAAGTGAACTTTTCTGATCACATTTTGTCCGGCGTCCGTCTGTCTGTCTGTAAACTTTTCACATTTTCGACTTCTTCTTAAGAATCGCTGGGCCAATTTCAACCAAACTTGCCACAAAGCATCCTTGGTTGAAGGGGATTCAAGTATATTCAAATGATGGGCCACGCCCTCATTCAAGGGGAGATAATTGGGAATTAATGAAAATTTGATGGTATGTTACAAAAATCTTCTTCTCAAGAACCACTGTGCCAGGAAAGATGAAACTTATGGAGAAATATCCTCAGGTAGTGTAGATTCAATTTTGTTCAAATCATGACCCCCTGGGGTAGGGCGGGGCCACAATGGCCGACCAAAGTTTAACATAGAAATATATAGGAAAATTCTGTAAAAATCTTCTTCTCAAGAATAACATAGCCATAATTGATCATATTTATATGGAAGCATCCTCAGGTAGTGTAGATTCAAGTTTGTTCAAATCATGACCCCGGGGTAGGGCGGAGCCACAATGGCCAACCGAAGTTTTACATAGAAATATATAGGAAAATTCTGTAAAAATCTTCTCAACAAGAATAACAAAGCCATAATTGATCACATTTATATGGAAGCATCCTCAGCTAGTGTAGATTCAAGTTTGTTCAAATCATGACCCCCGGGGGTAGGGAGGGGCCACAATGGCCGACCAAAGTTTTACATAGAAATATATGGAGAATTCTGTAAAAATCTTCTTCTTAAGAATATAAAAGCCATAATTGATCATATTTATATGGAAGCATTCTCAGGAAGTGTAGATTCAAGTTTGTTCACATCAATTCCCCTGGGGTGGGGGGGGGGGGAGGCACAATGGCCAAACAAAGTTTTACATAGAAATATATAGGAAAATTCTTTACAAATAATCTTCTCAAGAATAGCAAAGCAATGATTGGTCATGAGACTACTTTTGGATTTAAACTTTTCAATAATAAACCAATTTCTACTTTTTCCTAGCCACAGTACTCAGGTGAGCGCTGTGGCCCATGGGCCTCTTGTTAGAGTACATAGTGGGGTTGTTGCCCTAACACATTATGGGGTTAGTATTGTCTATTATGTTTATATAAGAACATAGTGAGGTTGTTACACTTTATCGGGTAAGTATTGTCTATTATCTTTATTAGAGTACATAGTGGGGTTGTTGTCCTAACACATTATGGGGTTAGTATTGTCTATTATCTTTATATAAGAACATAGTGGGGTTGTTGTCCTAACACTCTATGGGGTTAGTATCATCTATTATCTTTATATAGGAACATAGTGGGGTTGTTGTCCTAACACTTTGTGGGGTTATTGTTGTCTATTATCTTTATATGAGAACATAGTGGGGTCGTAATACTTTATGGGGTTATTGTTGTCTATTATCTCTATATAAAAACATAGTGTGGTTGTTTCACTTTATGGGGTTAGTGTTGTCTATTATCTTCTTAAGAGTACATAGTGGGGTTGTTGTCCTAACACTCTATGGGATTAGTGTCATCTATTATCTTTATATAGGAACATAGTGGGATTGTGTTTTCCTAACCCTTT